ATTTGGTAGCCTACACATTCAAATGGGAATAAATAAAAGCATAAGGAGGATTTCAAAACATCTATTTCTGTGCTGGGCTTAATCTGAATGTTTAGCTCTGGAATTTATTCATGATATCTGTTTGCAAGCTTAGATTTATGTTTTCAAACCGAAATCCCACCCCATGCTCTAGGCCTGCATCTGACTGTGCAACAGTACCAACAGGGTGACTGAGTTATCTTTTGCCTATCCCTGCACTTTGCCATTTATTGGAGTTTTTTGCCATTTAAGAGTTTCAAACATTTTGGGTCGGACTACAAATGCACATCTCTCAGCACGGAACCGTTTTGAGGCTGAAACTGAAAGGATAATCCTGTTCACATTATTGTAGCAGAAACGCACGATACAACATATTTTTCTTAGGGAGAGAGCCCTTTTTAACGTGCCCCCATCCTTCAGTTCCCACCCGCCACCCCCTCCCATGCTTGGGATTAAACAGTGCACTCTTACTGACTCAATTTACTTGTTATTAAGGGTATATGTTCCTTTATGACTTTCAGAATACCTCAAAGTGCATGTTTTGCTCATGTTTAGGAAACTTAGAAAACAAATCGCTCACCTGAAAGTCCTCTAGAGAAATTGTTTAACAGTGGGGTAACTCTGCTCAGCAACCCACTAACCGCCCGACTTTCACAAATCTGGAATTGGAACTGCAGCTCTTTCACGGTGTATGGGCCTCTTCCCTTCTTCTTTCCCCTTTCCCTTTTTATTTCCTTTTAGTCAGTTCTTTTCTTAAGTAAATATAATCTTACCCTTACAAGTGAAATGTTTTCTGTCTTCTTAACAGTCACATTTTAGTCATTCAAAAAATTATCTCTTTTTCCTACTTTTTTTTTTGAGTTTCTACAATTTGGGGGCAAAACTTAATCCTGCTCTCAGTCAGATTTCAAGATGGGCTAAACCAGAGCCACTAAATCTGACTTTATGACTTCTGTAGTACTACTTTCACTCAAAATAATCTCAGAGTAAAATTTTCAAAGCAGCACACATGGGTGAAACTACTCATACCCTACTCAAACTGAGTGTGAATTTGATATCTAAGCCCTTCACGTATTTTTACCATCCAAGCTTGTAGTTTGAGATTGTATAAAATAAGAAATGACTGTTTCTGCCCAAAATACTTATCCCAGTGTTATAATGATCCATCCTGAATGATTTCATCTCATTTATTCCATTTTGTCTTACTTGAAGAATAAATGTTTGTATGCTATAACAAGAATAATTACAAGAATTAACAAATTCTTCCTTAAGAACGTGACCAGTTTTCCCCTCAATGCTCTGCACGGTCAACAAAAGTTAGAAATTTACAGTGTGAAAGGTAATTTTGCTAACTGAGGGAAATACAGGCTATTTAATGTCAACCCAATGGTGGGAATAGTGTTAATTTAAAGGAAACAAGATCAGAAACATTTCCTGAGAGAAGAACGCATACAAGCACCTGATTCTAACGAGATTTAAAATAATGTTCACGTAATACAGTTTTAGGTATGTTTTTTCATAATATAATCAAACCGTCATGTGTGATTTCTTTTTTTATTCTCATTGATTTATTTTTTTTTAATCTCATTTTCTTTCTTTATCTGGGGGGGCCAGGTGGGACCAGGATAAGCAGTGAAAATTGGTGGGTGCCTTATCTACCTAAGGATGTTGGATGACAAAGAAAAAAAGTACCGAGTGTTCAAAAAAATTATCCTAAAATCATTTGAAGTAGCTGAAAAATTAGCACATCCCATCAGTGCATTCCAGTCAGCAAGGAAGATGGGTTGTAGCTGTCTCTGGGGAGCTGAGAAGAAACCCCAATAACTATTTTTAGTCGCATTTTTTTTTCCGGCCAGGAATAAAAAATGTAGAAGATGGAAAAACAGTGGCTAGAAATTTACCATCAGTTGACTCTGTTATGTTTGGTTTTCCCTTAGAAGTAGCAGGATTCTTGGGAGTTGTTCAAATCCCAAGGAATTCCCCAGACCTGAGAGCAGTTCAGCTGAGCAATTCCTGGGGGAGGAGAGAAGACATGAAAGCTGTGCCTTCGTGTTTCCACGCTGTTTTCTTAAGTATCCCACTGCTGTGGTATTATGGATTCTGGGAGCAAGGGGCTGCTGCCAACATTTTCCTCTTTATACTCTCTTTGTGGTTGTGAGCGGGAGGTAAGGAGAGCAGTTGTTGTCCCCTTGGAACAGGCCTGAGGAAGAGCAGACAGGAGTCTGCAGTTGATGGTCTGTTCTCTACATGCCGTTTGTGTATGTACACCCACCTGAGGGGACATACAACATGGAGTATAGCATGGATCTGTATCACTGATCATCACTGAACTAGTCTTAAAAAAACCCTATGCCGTGTACCATGATGATAATTTCTCTCTCTGGTAAGGTTGTTTATCCTCTTTTTCTTATTTATTGCTTGAGTGAACCCGATACATTTGGAATTATGTTTTAGAAGTAAGATACTGTGCAACTGGTGGTATTTCACTGCAGAATAACCCCTGAAGGGATTTGTAATCCCCCAGGACTAACATCATCTCATAGTGAGCCAAACTGAATAATAAGCTCAGTGCTACAAACACAGCTTCGTATTCAGCCTCATTCTGGGTTAGTTAGCATTGCCTAGTAATTCATTATTATTCCATACTGATGCTCTCGGTGACATCCAGAGGCTGGCCTAAACACGCTCAAGCTGCTGGCGGTGGCAGCAGCAGTCTATATAAATGTGGATGTTTTGTTTTCCCTCTGTAAATGTACGCTGGAGAATGTCTCTTAAAAGATTTGTTAGCAAGTCTTCCCCGTAGCTAAACACGAGACAGTAACGTACTGGACATCAGTCAAAGACACACAGTGACACAGAGCTTACTAATTACTATTAATGTTTACAGGATTTGGAATGTCCTAATTGATTTTGGCACGGAAAGTGTAGTGTAGTAAATTGCTTGTCACCTTTGTTTCATCCTGGGTCTCATTGAGAATCTCATATGCAATTAACTGTAATTGCTATACTGTATTTATTCTAAAGTGCACAATACATTACTCTTTTGTTGTTTGGATCTCAAAATTGGGGAGCTAATTGCTTACAAAAATACAATTCAAAACAAGGGGATCTTTGTGGTGAGGGATCTGATTTTTTTTTTTTTTTTTCAGAATAGAAAAAGATGATGATGTTTAACATAATTCATGTTCCAAATTTCTAGTCCTCCTGTACCTGAAATCTTACTAACTTCAGGGAGAGTAACTTGTGCGTAAAGACACAAGTAAATCTACACGACCAGCTTGCGTGGCACGCGAGGAGTTCGGTTTGACTCGCTGCACACCAGTCTGGTTACAGGACCGAACGTCCTCGCTGTGCTGCTACCGGCAGTGAAACTTGAGACAAACTCGAGGCAGTTGCCAGTTCAAGGCACGGATCAGGCGGGCTGAGGGCACGAACTGCAGGAGGAGCCTGCACCCACATCGCAAACCCTGGAGGTTAGCTTCAACCTTGGCTTCACCAGGAGGCAAACTGCATCAAACACACCCGCCAGTGGTGTGTCTCGCTCAAGTGAGTACTGCCAGGCTCCAAGTACAGACCCGAGGCAAAGCTGCAGCAAGAAGAATCCTCCCCCTCCCTCTTCCAGCGTTAAATCACTCACGCGGAGACGTCCTGTGTTATTTAGGGAGACTCTGACTAAAGGTGCTGAAACAAATTGTTGTGCTCTCTGTAAGACTGGGCAATTGTTTTCCGCATATGGAACTGTACAGTGATTCTTGAATATTCCTGAATATATTTTCCTGCTCATATTCTAGGTTCCAAGGTAGAAGCACTGCTCACATGAATTCATCTGCCAGTTTAGCCTGGCAGTATTTTCTATTTAAAGAGCCAAAGCTCCAGAATTAACACGGACTAAAAAAAAAAAAAAAAAGGCGAGCTTTGCCAAGAAGCAGTCTAGGGCAACAAAAAAAGTGAAGCCCTCAGTACAGATAAAGGACAGCAGTCTGCAAAATTTTCCTCGGAGGAATGGAAAGCTGCATCGTCCCCTGATGTCACCCAGGGTTTGGATGTTGGAGCACTGGTCTCTCTTTCAAGCACCTGCTCTTTTCATTTCCTAGTGGACTGTTCAAGGAACAGCTCATCTGAAGTGTCCTTGCTGTCCTTGTTAAAACAGAGGATGCTACTGAGTTCCTCATATTAAGAAACCAGCTGTTCTAATTTTTCGGGAGAAAATAATTTCAGGAGATAAGATACAGATCTAGCTAAATTAACTTAATTAAAGAAAATGCAAATCCGGTAGAATGAGAGTAGATAGATTCTTACTTGCAGCAAGGGCAAAATCTCCCCAAGAGTCTGGATGTCAAAAAATGACAATAATTGTACATGTAAAATATTAGAAATATCTTCTGTCAAGAGTGCAGGATAAAAACAGAGACGATTTGATTTGCATTTGTTTTACCCTACTGCAAGTGAAAGGACAAGCCTAAATATCACGGACTGATTTCCAGCGCATTCAGACGATCTTGGAGCTTACTTTTAATCCAGTTAATTATTTTGCTATTCTCCATTCAATTAATTGTCAGATTAAAGTTCTTATATAATATGTAAAAATGGTGTTTAGATAATAAAAGATTAGAAGAGAAATACTGCAGAGGTTGCCTTAGAAGAAAGCATGGCAAGATTGAAATCTGCAGCATTCCAAGTTAAAAGAGGCTGTTAACTCGGATAGCAATTACACGTATACGCCACCAGAAGATGGGATATGTTACGTGGGGTCTGGAAGACTACTGCAAATCTTTACTGTAGCGATTGGTTAGGATGGTACATAAACACCACTGCTTGGATTTTCTACTTAGATCTTCCAGCGTTGTGACATTCATCAAAATCTGTGTTTAATTTTATTATCGATGTTGATCGTAATTGCTTTTTGTGGCATTTCAGGCTTCCTAGGATCTAATGTGGGAAAAAAAAAAAAAAAAAAAATTCTTTTGTTTTGCAATGCGGGAATGGATGCTCAGCAGTCCCTTTCTGCTGCGGAGTACGGTGACACAGCTTTGCAGTTGTCTGTGCCACTTTCTTTCTGCAAATGTCTGTTCGTTGTGTCAGTTGGCGCTTTCCACGTTGGCAGTACGCCTCCTGTCCCACAAGAAAGCAGGTGCGTTCGGAGGGATGACAGCTTTCTCAGAACTCAATTATTTAATTAAATCATTTATAACTAGATCCTCTGAAGAAGCCGTGCCATCTGTTGAGTGGTCAGAATCTTGCCTGTGTGCTAAGCAATGCTGATTAAACTCCCTGCATCCCTTCTATTTAGTTGCATGCTGTTTCACTAGAAGCAACTGGAAAGTTGCTAGAGTCAAAATTAGAAGTGAGAAGATCCAGGTTCCGTTTTTAACTTTTCGACTGATTTACTTAATTTCACCTTGAGCAACTGTGCTGCATCTTGGTTTCTGTCGCCTATTTGTAAAAAGTCATTTAAGTAACTTTGACATTTATAAAAGGGGAGAAAAAGCTACTTAGAGACAAACATTTTCATAATCGTGATAATTTAACAGCTTTGTTCTACGAGCTACTTGATAGTGTGGATAGAAAACCACTACAAACAGTTCTCCAAATATCCGTTTCTAAACACGTGTGTTGCACTGTTTACATTCCATTAACAGTTGTCAGATCCAGATTTACTCCCAGCGCTTCTAACTGTGCATGCCCAGACCCTGGGAGACGACCCGTGCAAAATTTTAATGCTTTCTAGCAGCTTTCATGAATAAACCTTGATTTAAAAAAAAAAAATTTACTCATCCTATCAACAGTGGCAACATTACTAATTAGTTAAATAGAGACAGAAGGCTGTCATTTATGTCCCAGAGGGCACTAAGCTGTTAATTAAAGACAAAAATCTAAAAAAAAAAAAAAAAGATAGCTTGCAAATTTCTCTTAAAAATCTTCTAAATAACATATTTCTCTTTAAAATCTGGATTTGCATTTCCTTTCCCATTCATATATTTGAAAGGACTAGAGGGAGATGTTTTGATTGGACCTTCTCGTTGTCCTCCAAGAGGGTGGGGGGCATCCTGTGAGATGAGGGACGTTAATGATGAATGCATCCTGCATCAGAAAGGTAGCCTGAAAAATCTGACAAGAAGGGCTTCAGACAAACCCTTATCTTAATCACTTCTGAGCAGTTACACTCCTGGGCATGCACTAAGCCTGTATCTACGTGCTAGTAAAGTTCAGGGTATCATAGGTGCACAGAGAATTTATTTCTGTAATGCTGAGGTCAGTGTGGTGAGTCATCAGCTGGTGATATTTTCATAAAATCATTTAGGTTGGAAAAGACCCTTGAGATCGTCGAGTCCAACTGTAAACCTAACAGTGCCAAGTCCACCGCTAAACCATGTCCCTGAGCTCCACATCTACACGTACCTCCGGGGGGGGGACTCAGTACCTGCGGGATCAGGGAGGGAAGCTTGCGTTGGGCAATGCTTTTTCACACAACCCGTCAAAGCGGAGTGAGGTCCCTACAGGGAAATGTTGGCTCCAGCCTTACACATCTGAGAGTTGTTTTCCTCCTTAATATCTATTTTACTCATGAGAACTTAAGTGATTTTTGGAAACACCAAAGCCCTAGAGGCACCATCATTTATTAAGCTTACGTCAGTGGTCACTTTCTATGAATTTAATGCGTACTTCAGAATCTCCGCTTTCCACACACGCTGGTACATCTTAGATTTGGGATGTACACGTGCGAGTATGTGTATGGGAGGGGAGTGATGGAGTGAGGGGGAAGAAGAGAAAGCAAAGGAAAAACCTTTGAACCTACAAACCAACGCAAATCAGCGTGGAGCCATCTGCCTGCGTCTGCAGGGATTGACAAATGGAGTGTATGAACTCCTCCTGTTCATTAGCATTGAGGGAAGTAGATCAACACCTTAAGGACACTTTTAAAATATTAACTGTTAGTTTTTTTAATCGCTGAACCTTTTTAGATGCATTGAAGTAACACACTTCTTCACTGTAGTTGATACGGGTAGATAGGGTTCCACAGGCAGTCACTGCTATAAATAACTACTTGTATGAAATACAGGAGCTTCTGAGACCTCAGAGTCTCTGGTGCTCACAAGTGGATGTTTCATTACTGGTGCAAAAAGGCTCACGGTGTTTCTTAAATATCTAAAATAAAAACACGCTTCCTACTTTTCTTAGGTGCAAAATGCACCGTGAGGCCCCTTGCAACTTTCGAAACCTCCAGACAGATGCAAAGCTGATGAATTCAATTAAGTTACGATCAGCCTTAGAACCCCGAAATGCTGAAGCGTTAGTATCCTGACCTTTATGTCAAGATGAATGAAAAACAAATTAACTTCTGACTCAGCAAGCCTTCCTGAAGGATTGTGTTTGTTAGAAAATGTCTCTGTTTTTACAAATAGGTGTAAGGGCAGAAATAAGCTGGTTTCCATAAAAGCCAATGCATCTCAATCTCAACGGCTGCCAGGATTTCTAGCCTTAATGAACTAGTTATTGATACTGTTCTTTGGCATTTATATTTTATTGTCATCTGATTGTTCCTGTAGTACACAGCTGTGGGTATTGTGGGCAGGAAGGTACGAGAGGGACTTGTCAAATTTAGAAGTCAGCAGCACGTAGGGTTATATCAAGCTTCCATCTTTGTCCCTTGTCCTCCACCTGTCTCCTTGTAGAGCTTTGCTTTCCCGATAAATCCCAGGTTCTCTGAAACTCCTGACCTTTCACAGTAACTGATCTGCCGAGCATGCCCCTTTGACCAGGTGGCAGGGACACATTTCTCCGGGTCTAACTGCCCAATTTTCCTGCAGGAATTGAAGGGCACGTTACTGCATTCATCTTCACCAGACACTGACAACAGTTCACTGCACGTCTGTGAACTCTGACATCGAGATTTTTGGAGAGTAGCAATCCCATGGTTACTTTACTGATGCCAAACTGCGCTGTTCTGTTCTATTATCTTCTTTTTTTTTTTTTTTTTTTAAATCTATTATAGCTCAATAAGAGTGCTTAGATCAGCAACTGTACAAAAGCCCTAAATTTATCCCTACAGTCAAGTGTATCACAGCAAGCTGCCTGCCAGATTGCTGTTCAGTGAGAAAGCCACAAATTTCAGTGCCTGCTGCATGACAGGGGGCAAGAATACTGACAACCCTCAGAAAGGAACTGTTGGGCATGAAGACTATTGCCGTCCTTCTCGATATCAAAACTCCAGCGCCTTCATTTCTGTAAGCCAGTGCACAGTTTGGGCACTCCCACGGGAACAACAGGATCAGACTCTACTGCTTTCTGCTGGGTGACAAATACTGATCCGGGTGGGTCCATTACTCTGGGGCGGGTGGGCGTCTGTCACTACGACCTGGTGTTTAATATTTGCTTTGTTGGTCATAATTACAGCGTATCAGCTTTTCTCTCCATAAAACTAGCCAAGCACAAGAGGAAAAACCCCTCAAGCTGTCTGGTTTCAATTTCACATTCACAACCAAGTACAAAATGAAATTGTGTCGTTCGTAAGAAAACTTCAAAGAGTTGTTCCTAGCAGTTCTTCTTACAGATTCTTTCAAATATAAGGAATGTCTTGCATGACTGTACAGTTACACCCAGGAAAGCAGGAATGCAGATATGTTCAATTCTCACTCAAAGTATACATTATTGAGTATATGTTTGACGAAAAGAAGCAAGGCCAAGTTCTCCTTTGTATCTCGATTTGCCAAAATTAGGAAGGTTTCCAAAAGCATCTCAGCTTTAAAATAATGACTTACTAGGAATAAAAAAGCAGAAGAGCAGCCTGATAATTTTTTTTTTATCAAATCTGTTTCTCAGTTCTATTCCTTAGCTGTTACATTAAGCTGGTTTACTTTAGCTTTCTCTTGATTTTCTGCTCTTAGTTTCTCTGTTTTCATATCTGTTCTACAGTTTTTTCCTAGTGTTTTAGACAGACAGAATTTCCAAAATTACTCACAAGTCTGCAGAAGCCTTGAACATATTTATTTTTCTCTCTGGAGATGCAGAGGTGTGTGTGAATGGGGAGAGTATTCTGTGTATTTTTTCTAACAGTGCATTCATAGTAAAGTTCATCTGATTTTGTATCACTAATTCATTACCTTTCCTAGCTGTAAATATCCCTGTCAGTAAGGCTTCCATCACACCCTCATACATATGGATCAGACCAAAAAGCTTTCTTTTATAAAACGGGAACCCTAAGTTCACAAAGAACAACAGATACATAATACATTTGCTGTGACTGATTTTCTGAAATACTTTCATTAAAAAGGTTGGTGTGAGCATTACAGTGCATCTGGCCCCTCGTCTGAGAAGGCTAAATGCTTTCAAATCTGTCTTTATTTCCCTTTGCGCTCCCTCCTAAAAGAAAAATTAGACTACTTGATCAGTTTAAGATGTTAGTGGTTTGTGATAGTTTACTTTTGAGGAAGAATAATGTGCAGTGAGTCCAGGATAATCAGTTAATGTGAAGAAGTCCTACCAGAGCACTTCGAGAATATTGTAAAGTATTGTTCTAGTCTAGATATTACATAGGAATTAGGGAAAAAAAAAAAAAAAAAAAAAAAAAAGACCAGCCAAACTGAAAAACAGATATAAACATCTCATTAGGTTCATGAAGGTCAAATAAGCAATAAAGTTCCTCTTTATCCCTATCAGTCTATGCAGGCAACTCTCCTCAAGTCCCTTGTGAGGTTTCAAGACTTGTGGCAACCTTTTTATGATCTGCCAGTATACAGAAAGCAAATGAATTTTGGCTCTTCTGTAAATGTAAAGCAAGGATTGTAAATATTGAACCACTGTGATGTGCCAAACTCCCATAATATAGGCTTAGAGCACTTGATTCTGAAAAGGAAGCTAATGAAATAATTGACCTCATTTCCATTCCAAGCAATCTGACTTTAAAGAGAAGCTTGCACTTTTATTCTACATAAATTGCCCAGAAGAGCAATACTGTCTTCTTATTTCTTACATTTATTTCCTAAAAAAAAAAAAAAAAAAAAAACCAAAAAAAAAAACCACCAAAAAAACCCACACCTAAAATTAAGGAAGTAAGGTTCAAAATTGATAATCTTTTAGATTATTCAAAATTACAAAGGCTGATGGTTTCCACTGGACTTAATAAAATTAAAAGGACAAGCAGCCAACTGGTAGATGAAATTCGGTGCTTCCAGTAGAAAAGAAAGCAGAACTTTGAAAGAAAAATGTTATATAGATTTGTTCTGGAACTGTATCAGCGACGGAACTCCTATTAATCATTATGGCTAGTTCTGTGAAAATTCTTTTTTCATCATATCGGTACGTTATAGATGTGTGTCTATATACATATATTTACATATACATGTCTTTAGATACAAATGTGAAACTTAAGTTTTGCTAAAGCTCGAACAGCCCTTTCAACACTCCAGTGGTCTGTCCGTGTCTCCCACGGTCCTTTACAGTAAATTTAATTTCACAACTTTGCCCCCCAAAATAGTCATTCAATAAAACATTTGCTAAGTGCTTTGATTTTTATTTCTTTTTGTTTTCCCCTGGGAAGATTGTGCCCTAAAGGGGATCAAAATGTAAAAGGGATTTGTTTAAAAATTGCAGAAAATGTTGCTACTTCATTATTATTTTGTATAACAACTCTATAACGATTGTTTTGAGCACTTTGGTACAACATTACTGCACAGTTTTATACAAGTGGGAAATGAAATGCTTCTCTGTCATTTCTTTTAGTGCTCTCAAACACTTCTTTACAATTTATTGCAACTTACTGGGCTTTCAAGAACTATAATGGAATTTAAAGCTTATTGGCACGGTTCAAATAAGCTTTTTGCTCTTCTTCCATAACCTGGGGACTTCCTGCTGCCGGCTATATATTGCAGAAATAAATGGCAATTTCTCTTCATTATTATTCATGGGGTCATAACATTTAAGATTAATGCATGCTCTGATGGCTTATTCATGAAAATGTTCACAAGTCTTGAAAGTTTCATACTTTTTAACACACACAGTTTGTCCAGAAATTCCTGCTAGAAAGCATAGTTGGTCTATATTCGTTCTTCATCATTTTTTTCTCTATTGAAACCTTGCGTTCTGCCAGTGAGGGAGCATACACAGCACTTGCCAAACGTGACTCGTCACTTTCGACGACTTAGATGAGAAGTTCAATTCTTCAGTAACCCTATGAACTCCTATTTTCCATCCCTTAGAAAACCCAGGATAAACACTTGCAAATTATTCATTAGCAACTCAGTTCACTTTGTGAATGATCCTACAAGAAGAAGTCTTACGTGTATTATATTATTTATTCCAAGCAAAGAATTAATTTGATTCTATTTAACATATCCCAAGACGTAGCTGAGAAAGTAGGTGGGTGGAAATATTAACTACAGTCGTGGGAACTGTAGCTCTTACAAAGCGCACTACTCGGGGTTTGCACTGCGAAGGACCTAGCAGCCCCGATGGCCGTATGAATTTGCAGTATGAATGTATACCCCCAACCTTTCTTTCCCACTCAGCATACCACCAGCTTGCCCTTTTAGCTAACGAGCCACAAGCGTGTCTCGAGTGCCAAAGGGCGTTTAGAAGATTTTATATTCACTTGCTCCAGCTAATGTCCTGTCCTGCAGATGGAGCACCCACTCTGATTCTGCCTGACCAGATGAAATGGAGCCATCTAGGCTAGCCCCATGCCATGTTACAGAGTACTTGACAGCCTGGCATGATATCTTTAAAATTTGTGTCCTCTCTTCTATTATTATTTATGTCTTTTTTTTTTTTCCCCCGCATTATACTGTATAATACTTTTCACTGGATATTAGAAGACCAAATGTATGCATTAGTTTTTCCACAGCTGTGTGCAGTATGTATTCAAAGAGAATATGGTAATGACCAAAAAGAACCCAACAAGTCTGAGCCATGAGAACCTGAATAAATCTTTTTACAGTTGTGTATATGCGGTCACGACAGACAAATCGTATTTTCTACTATGCTTTGTTAGCATCCATGTTGCTTGTGAAACAGAGGCTTTAGGTTTTGCAAGAGGAACAATTTAATTCTTTGTCAGTGGATGCTACTGCAAGATGTCAGAAACAAAACCACCAGCCCTTGAACATACGACTCCTCTCAACGGTGTCTTTAAGAATCCCTGCTCATTCAGCCTGATTAGTCTGATTAGTCAAGACATGCTTTTGTCACTTACAAACTCTAGCAGAATATTACATGTCAGCTAAGTTGTCAAGAAAATTTGCATTAATCTAGACTAAATATATTAAGAGGAAATAGATGTACAAACAAGAATAAATGCTTCTTGGAATGAGTTTAATTTACTGGATTACAGACGTTGAGCTTTGTCCTGGAGACGGATTCATTTTCTTCAGCAAGTACACTTTTGAGTGTTGTGTTCACATGCAGTTTATTAATTGCAATCAAAATTATCTCAGGATGAAATCACCTTACCTGAATTACAAACAAAACAGTCTGCTTACATAAATTTTATTCTTAATAAGCAAAACTGCTGCTACGAAATTAAAAAAAAAAAAAAAGTTTTAAGTCCTTTTTTCCTATTTATGAATGTCCATGAACAATTTGCTTTGCTTGTTTAAAGCTCTAGTTTTGTGATTTTACCGATAGACTGTGACCTCGATCTGGTGTCAGTTATGAATTATATCACAGCAATTGCTGCTGGAAAGATATTCTGAGCAAACAGATCTCTATTGATCCTGCACTTTTTGTTGTATTTTGTATGGCCATTTAGTAATACTGATTTAATAAGGAAATTATGCTGTGGACTTTATGTGCATTTGAACTAATTGGTAATTGATAATTGTTATATTTCGTTGATCTAGTTCATTTATGAAACTTAGTTAATTTTAAGCAGTGCCTGGAAAAAAAACATTACAAAAATTTGTAACCCAAGCAAAGCAAATGAAGAGAGAGCATACACTGATAAACTGGAATTGTAACTCTTTAGGAATAAAAGTTCCTAACTATTTAGGAATAAAAGTATCTGCAAGTCACTCAGAGGATCAGAAGAGTGTCTTCCACCTATAAAATGTAAACACATATCTTGAAAAAAAAAGTCACTAAAAGCTAACAACAGCCTCAACTACTGGTGACGCCCAGTTACAAACACATTTTTTGGATCACGGAAAATGTTATATGAAATCCTGACACTGCTCTCGCTTAGGCCTGCTTTGTTGGTCCCCGTGCTTGAATTCCAGGGTCAGAGAGCTGGAGTCTGTATGTGTAATAAAATGAATATAATACAAGATTCATTCCTTTGGGTTTCAGCTGCCTTCCTTTAAAGAATTTCCCAGAAAGTTTCTAAACGCAGTATTAAGGATAATTAACTGCGTTCAGGAATAGTTCAGAGAAGAATATATAAGCTGAGGGTTATTCCTTTGTCTCAGGATTCTTTGCAAAGAAGCACTTTTCATCCGGAAAAAAGGTACCAGCTGTGCTAATTAAGAAAAACTTCTGAAGCACAAACAAAACTACACTGCAATATTAGGTTAAGACTGCTTCAGTGCTTCAGATGCTTCATCCTAGCAGCACTTCTCCGGAAAAATTCGGGTCTTCGGCTTCTAGGGTTAAAAATAAAGTTGCTTTTACAGTACAACTACTGAGCTGACTTAGGGCTTACCCTCCACAGGTGTATTTGCATGAAAGACAACTAGGTTTTCAAAAGCACAGCTAGGATTTAAGCAATAGGCAGTGACGTTTCCATTGTTTTTTCAATAATTTAGCTGCCTAACTGCTTCTTTAAAATCTCCCCCTAAGCAACAAAACTTAATGAAAGGAGGAACGTTTTATTTCAGCTTGAAATTGCCATTGAATTTGGCCAGAATCGTATTCACAAAGACTGATCTGCCCCAATACACCCTAAAGTTTAATAACATGATTACTCAGAACAAGTTACATTTATCATTTCAATTGAATGCCTTTTGAAATTTGTTGGGTTTTTAAAATCAGAAGAGATGACTTGTATTGGACTAAAAATATCTGTATTGCAAGATTTATATTGCTGAGATTTATTTCGCTTCTTGCTAGCCAAACTTCACGTAATAGATCTGTGTGTACATTACAATAACGCTGGGATATCCCAATACTCATTTTAATTAGAAGAGTAGATAAGACAGGGAGAAGAAAGCTTGTTTTATTTCAGTAAGAACCTGTTAAAAGAGCTCTCCCAGTTAAGATTTCCAGTAAAACTCTTTCAGCTTCAAGTGAAACCAGATTACAGGCAGTTTGGTGGAAAAGGAGATCCCTTGATACACCACCAATCCCATCCAGGCAACCAACAACTTCATTAGCCAAATAATTATATTATTAATCAGCAGTTCCTTTGATCAAGTGTCCTGTCTACGCCTGGTTGATCAGAAATTCCTGGCTGTTTTTCCTTCTTCATACGTTTGTTCTTATTTACATCTGCATTTAGAGTCAGATGATTGGGAACAGTTTAATTTGTGGCTTTTGACTCGGTAACTCCAATTGCATCTCTGGACACATGCATCGATTACGTTGGCTATTGATCTCTCCCGTTGTTGGCTAATTTATATATTTTGTACAATATTTAACAATCCAAATGGTAACTTAATAAAAGCAAGAAGGGAAAAAAAAATGTATTTCGTTCCTTGTTTCACACATGAACAGACAAACCCACCCCTATTATTTCTGTATTTCACGTGTAATTTTTTGGTAAGTTTTTTTCAACATCAGTTTTAGAGGGTAAGGCACAACCATTTATGCCAGAGAAAAACAAGTCACGGGCCTGCAGTTTTGTACTGTCAGAATTTGAATGGAACCATTATATATTTATCTCTGGCCTTACAGCCTTCAGTACCAACCAATAAACATGCTATACGTATAAATTCAACACTAACTCAAATGATTTTGGAACGATCTGATTTCATTCAAAGTCAGTATAAAAGCTTATGTTCAGTAGATAGATGCTAAAAACCCGTGCAATATAGAGGCACAATTTTATTACTTTTTTTTACTAGATAATCTGCGAAGTGCAGTTAGAGCATTATTGAAAAAAAAAAAAAAAAAAAAAAAAAAGTTACCCACTTAGTATCTTATTCGTACCAAAATAAAATTCTGTTACTATCCTTTTTGCGTGCGGTCAAACACTGGGACAGGCTGCCCACAGAGGCTGTGGAGTCTCCATCCTTGGAGAAGCTTTGTCTGGCCACGATGCTGAGCAGCCAACTGTAGGTGACCTTGCCTGAGCAGGGTGGTGAACGAGCTGATCTGGAGGGTCCTTGCCATAACAATTTGGTGATTCTTTTTAATAGAATTTAACAGGCAAGAGAATTTATATTCCTTTGATACATTCTCTTGACATAGAGTGGGATTTATCTTTTTGGTATAACAGATCCACTTTAAAATGTAAGCTGAAAATTTTAAAAAGATCTAGCAATGCCTCCATAACCAAACTGAGTCTTTTTGATAAAGCTGTCATAGAACTGATCGTAATAAAATCTGTCACAGAGAGGAAAACCATGCTCATTCCTCCAGCCTGTGATAATAACTGATGATCTCCTCCATAGGTAGAAAACTCTGTTTCACTTGCTATTTCTGCATTGTTTTTAAAACCTGGTGACTGCTACCAAAAAATGAACAACTGTGCTAATTATGCCGATAAGCATAGCAGATAGTTAAGAAATTGAAAGTCAGTAGAGTAAAAAGGATTCCAACATGAATACCTGGTCAAAAAATTGATTAGTGCATCAAAACACCTGTAAGACATGCCATGAGCAAGATGTTTAGAAAGCCTGTGTGTCCGTGGCCTTCCTGCCCATGACAGCTGAGCACCTGAGTTGTTATAACTGCATGGAAATCACGTCAGTGACTTCCAGGTTATCTAACAATGATGCTACAGTCTTAACAGACAAAAAAAATTAGATGAAGCTCGCTAGGCTTGGGTGTTTAATCTGGGGCCACCCTGAAGATCAGTCTTCTTCTTTTGTCTGTCAAAAGGTGTCCTTTTACTGGTGTATGAAAGCACACTGCAGGTAAAAAATAACCGTATGTATATGCAGTTGCATCGATGTTTTTAATAAAAAAAAAAAAAATCTAGGCTGACTTTCTATGGGACACATTACCCGTTATCACCATGCTCTAAGACCATCCAGGTATTCTGACCTGCTGGGATTTGTGAGCTCAGGTCACACTGCAGCCGTGGCTATAGTTATGAAATCTTGACTTGGATTCACAGCAACACCTCAGGACATTTTGGGTGGCATCGTGGTGGCCTCAAGAGATCAGGACAAGTACCTGTGGCACGGGGGCCTGCCCTGTGTCCATGAGACTCCCCACTGCGGAGCATCGCAAGCGTAGATACATCAGTCCCTAACGGAACTGGCCAAATGCTAAAGGTGGGAGCAGGTGATCATCAAAAACATGGCAAAAACGTGCCCACTGAATTGATGTGTTGCAATGCTACTCAAAAAAATCTCTTCCTTCTGGAACGGTCAGTGCCTTTTCCTCGCTGCTCCCAGAGCCCGTGCCTGCCTGGGACCGGCTCAGCCTTGCCTGGAGCGCTGGCCCGCACTTCGAGTCACAGGTGGAGTTTAGACTTAGGTTAGATCCTGCTCTGGAAAACACCTGCTCTAATTCTTGTGAAAGCAGAGTGAATGGAGAGCTGGATTTTTGAGGAACGCTCTCTGTGCTGCAGATCTCTGTTTTTTTTCTAAGGACAAACAAGTCAAGATTTGCCCTGCTCTCATTACAAAGCAGAGGAAATCGCTGGCATCAGATGAGTGCTGCTACCACAAGGGAACGCGGATAAACAGGCTTAGAAAAACGGAGACATCTGGAAAGATGGAATAAAAAATTGTACAGAAAACACAGTATGTAACAGTACAAACGGTTAATATAAAAGCAGCTTCAGGATGCAGCCAAAAATCTCTTCGCTTGGGACTGTCCTCCCCCCAGCTATT